AGTTCATTGAAAAGAAAAGTTTCTGCTGACATTGCTTGGATAATTAAATGCCTATACCCTGTATTATGAGCAACTAATTTAAACATAACAATACACAGTGTATTAACCATTGTTACCCTCCTATTATCTTATTTTGAAATTTTATTTTTCTCTGTAAAATAAAATTTAAAAAAAGAAAAATTTTAATAGACACAATAACACTAGAATTGAAAGAGTTCATTTCCTCTCAAGAGATCATTCCTTAATATTTCAGTGATAAATGTGAATCAGATTAAAATATGAATGATTAATATGTTTTACAACCCTATTTGCTTTCATATTGTTTTTTATGTCAACCAACAAAAATTTCATTGTAATTATAAACCACTTCATTAAAACCAGCTTCCTTTGTTATAAATTAATTTGGCCTAGGAGAAAAGTTCATTCAAGTTGAATTATAATAGAAATATTTAATTCAGTATTTTTATTTTTTCAGGCTAAGATGGTAGCTGGCCAATTTTTTTTTTTTTTAAATCTATAACATCCCTTTATTATCATTTCAGAAAAGCAAATATTTTGTTCACTAAGTCATCCCAAATGACAGCAACTGGTGATCTCATTGTTTTCCTTGTCTAAAATTAGCTTATAATTTTATCCATGTGGTGTTGTTGCCAACTAAGCAGCCACACTTCCTTCTCCGGGAACACTCTCTCCAGCCATGAGGACACGCAATACGGACCTATCACCTTGCTTGGAAAGCCTCTAAGCCCAGATTTGACCAGAGCAGGCAATAATCAGCGTTTAGTTCAGGACAAAGCTAATGGAGGAACAATGCACCTTATTGGATGGAAGTGAACTAAAATTATATTCAAAGTGAGAATAAAGGGCTTCAATTCCAACTAATTACACTGGAATGCCCACCAGTTTATAGAAAAGACAGACCCTGGGGAAAGGAGGGAGGGGAAAGAGAAGTACAAAGAATTAAGATGTGTTACACACACCTGCCAACTCCCCATGATGAGTGAAATCGCTACGTATTGCAAACATGTACTAATACAAATTTAAAAATTCAAAAAAAGAGAAAACGCATCCTATGGTACATTAATTTGTGTGTGTGTGTGTGTGTAATGCAGAAGTGCACGTTTATTCAGTGTGCAGGTGCTTAGAAAGGAGTTTATCATTTTGTTCATGTCCAAGTCCACGTGAGCAACAAAGCTGTGTACGTTTGGTGCCAACGTTGACAGGCTGACAGTCCCCTCAGTAACTTTACTCTTTAAGATAGATAAATAAATAGGCCAACATTTAAAAGCATCAAATGCGAGAAGGTCTTGCGGTCACCAATATCAGTTATATCTTGTTCCTTCATCTGCCAATTGCAGCGGCACGTGAAAACGGAACCGAGCTTCTGCGGGCTACTGACATCGAGGTGGGGACAGAGCAGGCCGCAAGCCTTCGTCCCCAGGCGGGCCGGGCTGGCGGGCCCGGCTTGCAGGCCGCGGGCCCTACTGCATCCTGCACACGGGCGCGTCCCTCAGTGAGGCGCTGGGCAGGACCCTGGGGTCCATGTTCTCCACGCCTGCAGCCTGCTCCCCTGGGCAAAGGCCTAGGCTCGAGTTGTCAAGGTAGTAAGCTGGACGAGGACCCGGAAAGGACTTGGAGTGGGGGTTAAAATACCAAGTCTTGGGCGAGTCCTTCGGCCTGGGAGCCAGCATGTTAATTTTAGAATATTAAACTGTCCAAAGAAACTAACAATACAATGCATACGAGGAGAGAGAAAAGAAGGGAAATAAGAGTACAAAGCGGTAAAATGCTGCAGTCTGGTCTAAATGATTTTATTTTAAAAATAAAAGAATGAAAACATTAACAAACAGACATCCATTTACAAAATAGCATAAGAACAGTACAAGCAGTACTGAATTGCAGACAAAGTGGTAGGAAATTAACAATGGTTATTGCATTTCATATTGATGTCTTCAAAGTGATTTCTCAGGAAAACAGACATGCAAGATTGATCAAATAATTATAAATGATTTTATTTTAAAAATTAAGTCTGCAATAAACAAGAAAACATAAAATGCATTTTAGACTAGGAATTACACATCGAAAGTAAAATTTGAGGGGGCTGGGGATATAGCTCGGTAGCATAAGCACTTGCCAGGCAAGCCTGAGGTCATGAGTTCGATTCCCGGTACCGAAAGTAAAATTTGCAATAAAAATGAACACAGTTATCCTGGGGCACATCAATATCCCAAAGTCACAAATATACAAATCAACTAGACAAAAAAATTCACAAAGAAATATCAGAGTTGAACCAAACCTTTGAACAAATGAATTTAATATATATATACAGAGTTCCACCAAACAGCAGAATATATAGATTCTTCTCAGTAGCATAAAAAACTTTCTCCAAAATGCACCACATACTAGTGAATGAAGCAAGCTTTAGTAAGTGTAGAAGAATTGACATCATATCATGATGGTTACCCAGTCATAATACAATGAAAGTAGAAATAAGTGACAAAAGAAAAAACAGAATTTATCCAAATGAATTGAAACTGAACAGTACATTCAGAGAAAAAAATGAGTTGTTAAAAAAAAAATCAAGGAAGAAATAAGACAGTTACTAGGACTAACCATTGCCACTATAATGTACCAGAAATTGTGGGACCCAGAGAAAGCAGTCCTAAGACAGAAGTTTATCACTGTGAATGCTCATATCACAAAAACAGAGCACGACCAAATAAATAGCAGACATGCACCACAAGGTTCCAGAAAAACAAGAACAGTCCAAACCCAAAACTATTACAAGGAAGGAAATTATAAAAAATCAGAGCAGAAATTCATGAAATTAAGACCAAACAAATAAACAAATAAACCCAAAATAACAAAACAAAGAATCAATGAATCAGAATCAAAGAGTTAGTTTTCTAAAACCATCAACAAAATAGACAAATCCTTACTCAGTCTAACAAAAAAAAAAAAAAAAAAAGAGGAAAAAACAGGCCCAAGCTAATGCTATTTGAAATGAAAAAGGTAAAATCACAATGGAGACAACTACTTCACAAACCTGTAGGCCAATACAGTGAGAATTGGAAATGGATAGATTCCATGATACACATGAATCACCAAAACTTCAAAAAGATTTTTTAAAAGTCTGAATAATCCAATAACAGGCAATAAAACTGAAGCAGTAATAAACACCTACCAACTATGAAAAGTCCAAGTCTGGATGAACTCACTGCTGAATTCTGCAAAAACTTCAGGGAAGATCTAACACCTATACTGCTGAGGTCTTTTAATGAAATCGAAAGGGAAAGCATTCTCCAAGAGTCATTCCCAGAGGCTAGCGTTACCTGATTCCAAAACCAGACAAAAGTCCAACCAGAAAGAGAACTATAATCCTGTCTCTTTAATGAATATAGGTGTAAAAATCCTCAACAAGATACTGGCAAACAGGGCAGGCATGGTGGCGCACGCCTGTAATCCCAGCACTCAGGAGGCTGAGGCACGATGATTACCGCAAGTTGAGGCCAGCCTGGGCTACATAGTGGATTCAAGGCCAGCCTGAACTGCATAGTGAGACAGTCTCAAAACAACAACAACAACAACAAAAAGCTACTGGCAAACAGAGTAATGAACCATCATAAAGTTCATATATCATATGTACAGAGCTTTATCCCAGGGATGTAAGGATGGTTCAACATAACCAAATCACCAAATGTGATGTACTGCATAAAAAGAGGCAAGGAAAAAAAATCACCTGATCTCCTCAATAGATGCATAAAAAGCCTTGCAGAAAATTCAACATCTTTCATGATAAAAACACTGAGGAAAATAGGTATGAAAGGACCTTGTCACACTTTGATAAAACTGAGAAACCTACTGCCATCATCGTGTGAAATGAAGGAAAAACTAAAAGCTTTCCCTCTACAATCAGGAACAAAACAAGGACATTCACTGTCACCACTCCTGTTCCAGTACTGGGAATCGAACTCACAACATTGCACTTGCCAGGCAGGCACTGTGCCGCTGAGCTACATCCCCAGCCCACCACTCCTGTTCAAAACTGGACTCCAAATATGATCAACAGGAATTAGGCAAGAAGAAAAAAAAACTGAGGAAGAAAACTGCATTACTGCATAGGAAGATGTGATAAAAAATAGTAAAATAAAAGATATAGGAGAGATTGTATTTTTCAGGTGTGTGATATTTACAATATTTATCAAATGTTAAAAAATTAAAATGATGATTTTCTTTCCTTTACTTTTGTCTCTATAACAATTGCTATTGGCCTCCTGCCCTGCTCCGTTGGGCAAAGCAGTGTGCCTTCCTTAGTCACACTCCTGTCCCTGAGACACAATACCCAGCACCTACAACTTAAAGGAGGGGAGGTTCACTTGGGCCTGTGGTTTGGAGCAGTTTCAGTTTACAGTCAGCTGGCTCCAAGGCAGCAACAGCCTGGCAGAAGGACCCATGGAGGAAGGCTGCTCGCATCAGGGTGGCCAGTAAGCAGAGTGGGAAGAGAGGAGGCAGGGAAGGAGACACACCCTTCCAGCTCATACCTCCAGGGACCCACTTCCAACCAAACCCTACTTTCTAGAAGCAAGTCAGCCATAGTGCCCCCATAATCCAGTGCCTTCTGAAAGCTCTGTCCATGAATGTGTGAGGCTGTGGTGGGACAATCTAGATCTAAACCATAACAGTACCCATCTTTCAGCTACTGGAGAGGTTGACTAACAAGGAGCCACACCTGTCCCCTTCTGCAGCAGACTGCTGAGGCCTAGGGAGCCACCTTGCCTAGGAGGCTAGACCATTCCCAGTGACTGATGCTGAGGCATAAATGCCCTTGCCTTGTAACAGGGTAATTCATATCCCAGAACTACCCATGAGATAATGCCAAGGATAGAAGTCTTCTGAAATCACTCCTTTGCTCTAGCCTCCTATATTCTGTGTCCCTCACTTCCATCCAACTTCCTGAGAGCCTGCCCTCAATAAATCACTTATACAAGAATCCTCATTTCGGGCTCTGCTTCCAGAAAATCTCACTTAAGAGAGTATCTAATTTTGTATTTATAATTTTGCATTATTCTTCTTATATAAATGGCTCCAAATTAGAGAGGCTTCAAGTCCCCAGTCCAACTCTGGATCTGTGATGTGGTGACTACTACATCCCTGACTGCACCATCCTAGTGACTTCAGCCATCATCTCTTCTTTTTTTTTTTT